ATCATTTTGCATTCCCACCAGCAGTGCATAAGAGTTCCAATCTCCCCGCAGCGTCTCCAACATTTGTTATTTCCAGTTTTTTTGTCTTGCCAGTAATGCGGGGTGAGATGCTATCTCATCTTGGTTTTGATTTGCATTTCTCTAATGGCTAGTGATCGCGAGCATTTCCTCAAGTGTCTGTTAGCCGCTTGAGTGTCTTTTTTGGTGAAGTGTCTGTTCCTTTACCCATTTTTTAATTGAATTATTTGTCTTTTTGTTGTAGAGGTGTTGGATTTGCCTGTAGTTTTTAGACGTTAGAGCTTTGTCTGACTTGTAATGTCCAAAATTTTTTTTCCCAGTCTGTAGGTTCTCTTTTTACTCTTTTGGTGAAGTCTTTTGATGAGCATAAATGTTTCATTTTTAGAAGATCCTAGTTATCTAGCTTACTTTCTGGAGTTCATGTGTTGTTGGTTATGGTTTGTATCCTGTTAATGCTGTGTATTAGGGCTTCTAGTGTTGATCCTATCTTTTCTACTATGAACTTTATAGTTTTTAGCTTTATATTTAGGTCTTCGATCCATTTTGAATTAGTTTTTGTATGTGGTGTGAAGTATGGGTCCTGTTTCATTTTTTTGCAGGTGGACATCCAGTTTTGCCAGCAACATTTGTTAAAAGACTCTTTTCCCCATTTGATGGACTTCGGGCCCTTGTCGAAGATCAAGTGACCATAGGTGGATGGATTAACATCCGGGTTCTCAATTCAGTTCCATCGGACATTGCATTTTTCGTTGTACCAGTACCAGGCTGTTCTGACTACTGTAGCTGTATAGTACATTCTGAGGTCAGGTAGTGTGAGTCCTCCTACTTTATTATTCTTCTTCAATAGCGCTTTACTTATTTGGGGCTTATTCCCTTTCCGAATAAAGTTAATGATTTGTTTTTACATCTCTTTAAAGAGTGTTATTGGTATTTGGATCAGGATTGCATTGTTATTTGTGTACAGATTTGGGTAGAATTGTCATTTTAACACTGTTGAGTCTACCTATCCATGAGCATGATATGTTTTTCCATTTATGCCAGTCCCTTTGGGTTTCTTGCAGTAGTGTTTTGTAGTTTTCTTTGTATAGGTCTTTCACATCCCTGGTTAGATTTATTCCTAAGTATTTTATTTTTTTAGGGGCTGTTATAAATAATATTGTTTTCCTGATTTCCTTTTCATTGTTCTCTTTATTAGTGTATAGTAATCCAACTGATTTTTGCATGTTGATCTTGTATCCTGCTACTCTGCTGAATCTTTCTATTAGTTCCAGTAGTTTTCTCATGGTATCTTCGGGGTTTTCGATGTATAGTATCATATCATCTGCAGATAGGGAGAGTTTAACTTCTTCATTACCAGTTTGGATGCCCTTTATTTCCTTGCCTTACTGCTCCAGCTGGGACTTTCAGCACAATGTTAAATAGGAGTGGTGATAAAGGACATCCTTGTCTTGTTCCTGTTCACAGGGGGAATGTTTTCAGCCTCTCTCCATTAAGAATGATGTTGGCCGTTGGTTTTGTATAGATGCCCTTTATTATGTTGAGAAATTTCCCTTCTATACCTATTTTATTAAGAGTTTTTATCAGGAATGGGTGTTGGGCCTTTTGAATGCCTTTTCTGCGTCAATTGAGATGATGATGTTATTCTTTTCTTTCCTTTTATTTACGTGGTGGATTACGTTGATTGATTTTTCTATTGTTGAACCATCCTTGCATACCTGGTATGAATCCTACTTGGTCATGGTGTATTATTTTTTTGATATGATGCTGAATTCTATTGGCTAGAATTTTGTTGAGAATTTTTGCATCTATATTCATGAGAGATATCAGTCTGTAATTTTCTTTTTTTGTGGCATCTTTGCCTGGTTTTGGTATCAGGGTTATGCTGGCTTCACAGAATGAATTTGGAAGTGTCACTTACTTTTCTATGTTCTGAAATAGTTTGAGTAGTACTGGTGTAAGCTCTTCTCTGAATGTTTGGTAAAAGTCTCCAGTGAAGCCATCTGGCCAGGGCTTTTTTTTTGTTGGGAGGTTTTTTTTTTAATTACCTTTTCAGTCTCTTCTCTTGTTATGGGTCTGTTCAGATTTTCAACATCACTTTGTGTTAGTTTGGGTAGGTAGTGTGTTTCTAGAAATTTATCCATTTCCTCTAGGTTTTCAAATTTGTTGGAGTATAGTTTTTCATAATACTCTGTTATGATCCTTTATATTTCAGTTGGGTCTGTTGTAATGTCCCCCATTTCATTTCTTATTTGGGTTATTTGCGTCCTCTCCTGTTTTTTCTTTTGTCAGTCTGGCCAGTGGTTTGTTGATTTTGTTGATCCTTTCAGAGAACTGACTTTTGGTTTTGTTGATTCTTTCTATTGTTTTTCTATTCTCTATTTCATTTATTTCTGCTCTGATCTTTATTATTTCCTTTCTTCTGGTGGCTGTGGGCTTTTTTTGCTGTTCTCTTTCTATTTCAGTTGTGTAGTTAAGTTTTGATTTTGTCCCTTTCTTCTTTTTTGATGTGTGCATCTATTGCTATAAATTGTCCTCTGAGGACTGCCTTTGCTGTGTCCCAAAGGTTTTGGTATGATATATTTTCATTCTCGTTTGATTCTAGGAATTTTTTGATTCCATCTCTGATTTCTTCTATTACCCAATGGTTGTAAGCAGTGTGTTATTCAGTTTCCATGTACTCGATTTTTTTTCCTTGCTCTTTCTAGTGTTAATTTCTACCTTGATGGCATTGTGGTCAGAGAAGATACTTTGTATTATCTCAGTGTTTTGGATTTTGTTGAGGGTTGCTCTGTGGCCTAAGATTTGGTCTATTCTGGAGAATGTTCCATGTGCATTGGAAAAGAATGTGTACTTTGCAGTTGTTGGGTGTAGTGTTCTATGTATGTCTATGAGGTCAAGTTGGCTGATTGTGCCCTTTAGGTTTTCTGTATCTTTGGTGAGTTTCTTTCTAGATGTTCTGTCCTTTACCAAGAGTGGTGTGTTGAAGTCTCCTACTATTTTAGTGGAACTGTCAATTTCTGTTTTCATTGCTGTTAGAGTGTGTTTTATGTATTTTGGAGCCCTGTCATTGGGTGCATAGATGTTTATTATGGTTATGTTTTCATGATGGATCATCCCTTTAATTACTATATAGTGTTCTTCTTTTTTTTTATGGTGGACTTTGTTTTAAAGTCTATTTTATCTGAGATTGGTATTGCCATTCCTGCTGTTTTTTGGTAGCTGTTTGCTTGATATATTTTTTTCCATCCTTTGATTTTTAATAACTTTACATCTTTGTTTCTAAGGTGTGTCTCTTGTAGACAGCATATTGATGGATCCTGTTTTTTAATCCATTCTGTCACTCTCTGTCAGTTTATGGGTTCATTGAGACCATTTACATTCAGTGTAATTATTGATAGGTATGAGTTTATTGCTGTCATTTTGTAATGCTTTTTTTTATAATGGTGATATTTTCTCTCTTCCTCTTACTCTCCCGTGCTGAATTCCTTTCGTCCGTGGATTTTTTTTAATTTCTTTTG